AAGTCATGTTCTCTTTCCTGTTTGTTTGCTGTCCTCTAGAAAAGTTTTATTTACAGATGGAAATATTTCAATTACTGTAAAAACTAAGCCTCTACCTATACTGAGACAATAGTTTTGTCTCAATAATATGTTATTAAGCCCACAGGCATCGGGAAAGTCTTCTTTTTCCATGAATTGAATTTTATAATTTCTCTGAGCAGGTCTATAATGCATTTTGTAAGGCACTGCACACCTTTGATAGATATTTTTTTAAGTTTTAACATCTGTTACTCGGTAATGGATCAAATGGATTCCAAATAAAGTACAATTCCAAATAGAAAAATTAATATTCATGCAACCTAATGACATTAAATTGGATAATTGAGAATCTTACATGACAGTTATGAAGATTATGCTGTGAAAAAAAAGACTCAAATAATAATATTACAAATGTTTTAATAAAAAAAACTGTAAGAAATAGTCCACCATAATCTATGTAGCTGGTAACATTTTGAGTGTGTGAACATTGACTGTTAATGTAGCCCTGAGCCAATTCCCCCTTCTTTCAGGAACATGCTTTTAAAAGCAAAGGATTCCAGATATCTAAAAGCAGCATGTATAAATATATTTGTGGGTTTCAATCTAAATCAATTTATATTTTTCAAAGACAGTAACATCTGAGGTTTGTGATTCAGAGTTAAATATGTAATCTTACAGTTTAGCCTTCCCGCAGTGTGTAATAAATCTGAAAATGACAGGTTTATGCACAAATTTTGTAATGTTATAACCAATAACTTAAATTCAATTTACCGGGATGTTATGCAACAGGCAACACAAAGCCGAATGTGATCAAACACGCCACAGAGTACACTGTAAAATAAATAAACCTATAAACTGTTCCTTACTGCAAAGGTCAAATCTGGCACTCAGTTTATTTATTAGTAAAAATATTTTAATTGCAGTAAAATACCAGGACTAATCAGGTAAGTCTAACTAACACAATAAACCTCAAAAAATTTATTACAGAAAAGCCTTAGGCAGAGATCAAACTCATGATCTCGATGCTGCGAGGTAGCAGTGTTACAAACTACGTCACCATCCAGGATTCCTGACTTTTCACCAGTTAGTCACGCTACGCACCAAACAGGGCTGCAGTCTGAATCAAAATTGTTGACTTTTTCTAACAGACATAAAACGGTATTATAATGCTTCACAAACTGTTGAATTTAATAAACTAATTTCAAGATACATCCCTTTTTGTTGCAAGGATCTTTTGTTTTGCATGGTTGAGCAGAGCAGTTACTACTTGGCACATGTGCACATTGTAATACTTTCATGTTATATTTTCTAGTGTTAAAAAAGGTGGAATATTACTCATTAAATTCTAGTTAATTTCCAACCTAATATGTAATAAAAAAAAATTTATTTGTATTGATTTACCATACACCAAAATCATTCCTTAGATTGTACAGTTCTGTTTATAGAAGCCATATTGAAAACTTGTGAAAACTTGATTATTTAACTACAATGACGAACCTGCAAAAGATAATTAAAAGCAGCCAAAAGGAGTTGCAAAAATCAACACCTCTGAATTGAAGACATGATGACCTGACTTCTAACACACTCCACATTTCTGTCTTGTATGTAGAGAAAAACATTATTAAACAACATATATATATTTAAAAAAAAAAGCTTACAATGCATATGCCCTACACACCAGGCAGGGGACTTGACTCAGATGCTCTGATCACACACACACAAAAAAATTAAATCAAACTGAACTGTTAACAGAAAAAAAAACAGAAGGAAAATATTGCCCTATTACAATCAGTATTTTGAGCTTAATATTTAACAATGTTTTTTGGATTTGCAGTTTTTCCTAATGTGGTGCAGCCCCAGCCTCATCCTATGAGGTGCCCCCAGGGACATAAATTAGAATTAACTTGCCTATACACATATTAAATTACACTCTTCCATATAATATACTGAAAACCTCACACAAACACTAGTAAAAAGCTCTCACATAAACTAGTGAAAACATTTACCTCTTATATAATCTACTCAAAAGCTCTCATACAAAGTAGTGAGAACTGTTCATATAAACTGGTGAAAAGCTTTACCTTTCATACACACTACTAGAAAGCTTTCATATACACTATTAAAAAGCTCTCATATACACTACTAGAACGCTCTCATATACACTACTAGAAATCTCTCATATACACTATTAGAACGCTCTCATATACACTATTAGAACGCTCTCATATACACTATTAGAAAGCTCTCATATACACTATTAGAACGCTCTCATATACACTATTAGAACGCTCTCATATACACTATTAGAACGCTCTCATATACACTACTAGAAGCTCTCATATAGACTGCTAGAACGCTCTCATATACACTACTAGAACGCTCTCATACACGCTACTAGAAAGCTCTCATACACGCCACTAGAAAGCTCTCATACACACTACTGAAAAGCTATTAGCGGATTTCAGTTGAAACGGAAGGTGTTTCAGTGAAACAGGAAGGACCGTCATTACACCGGAAGTTGTTTTAAACGGAGGTCATTCTGGCTAGCTCCGTACATTTTGTGCTATCTCCGGCCGAAATTGTATCAAATAAAATTATTGATTCATGCTCAGCTATCCGCTAAACAACTCACAGAAGCATGGGCATTACTCGACTTTATTTTTTATGTTTTTGCTTCAACAGAGATCCTTTTTCGGTGTTGTGCGAAATTCTGTTCCCATGTGAAAATCTGTTCCACCTGTGTCGGGAGCGCGCCGCGCATTGCAGCCACATAAGCGGATCTGATCATTTCCCAGGCCTTTCGGATCATTTCTTGGTTAAATAAAAAGTCGTAAAATTATACAAGGTTGAGACATTTAGTTTAATCAGCCGCTGTTGTTTACAAAATTGTAAAATAAAAAAAATAAATGCGGTTTTCTTATGCTGTTTTGTGTTGTTATTTTAAACGCCAAGAGAATCAGTCTCTTTCCAAGTTTTTTCACTTCAGCCTGACAGAACTAAAAGTCAAGTCACCAAATACCAAATTTGTATTTATAATTTTTTATTACTGATATAAGATGATGGGAAGTGCCTGATAGCAGTTCCATAATATGGAAACAAATTAATTTAGCTGCAAATCTTAAACTGTGTTTATTCCTCTCTTCATCAACAACAAACCATCTGGATTCGGTGATATTTGAGCAATGTTTGCCTAAATTAAAGGAGGGGGACCATATATTTTAGCTTTCTAATAGTGTGTATGAAAGCTTTCCAGTAGTGTGTTTGAGAGCTTTCTAGTAGTGTATATGAGCGTTCTAATAGTGTATATGAGAGCATTCTAGTAGTGTATATGAGAGCTTTCTAATAGTGTATATGAGAGCGTTCTAATAGTGTATATGAGAGCATTCTAGTAGTGTATATGAGAGCATTCTAGTAGTGTATATGAGAGCTTTCTAATAGTGTATATGAGAGCGTTCTAATAGTGTAAATGAGAGCGTTCTAATAGTGTATATGAGAGCATTCTAGTAGTGTATATGAGAGCTTTCTAATAGTGTATATGAGAGCGTTCTAATAGTGTATATGAGAGCGTTCTAATAGTGTATATGAGAGCGTTCTAATAGTGTATATGAGAGCATTCTAATAGTGTATATGAGAGCGTTCTAGTAGTGTATATGAGAGTGTTCTAATAGTGTATATGAGAGCGTTCTAATAGTGTATATGAGAGCGTTCTAGTAGTGTATATGAGAGCGTTCTAATAGTGTATATGAGAGCTTTCTAATAGTGTATATGAGAGCTTTCTAATAGTGTATATGAGAGCGTTCTAGTAGTGTATATGAGAGCGTTCTAGTAGTGTATATGAGAGCTTTTTAATAGTGTATATGAAAGCTTTCTAGTAGTGTGTATGAAAGGTAAAGCTTTTCACCAGTTTATATGAACAGTTCTCACTACTTTGTAGGAGAGCTTTTGAGTAGATTATATAAGAGGTAAATGTTTTCACTAGTTTATGTGAGAGCTTTTTACTAGTGTTTGTGTGAGGTTTTCAGTATATTATATGGAAGAGTGTAATTTAATATGTGTATATGCAAGTTAATTCTGATTTATGTCCCTGGGGGCACCTCATATCATCCTGTTGGTCACTATATCAGCCACTTCTCTCAAACTCTGGTTAAAAATCCAGGTCTAGATCTTTCCACTGACTACTGTGTCCAACCATGTTGAAAGTGCAGAAACAAAGACTCCAGTGAAATAAATTAGCTAAAGCTTTGCACAATAAAATAAAGAGGAGACTGAAACTTTAAGGGGATTTACCATTATGTAGCAACTCAACAAGTCAGTAACTGTTCAGCAGACCTTATCTCTAAATCAGGCATTTTGAGTAAAACTCCACACATAGATTAAATACAGACTGGAAAGGAATAGCATTCGGAACACAGCACTGACACACAGTATCTCCCCCTGAGGATGAGTCAGAGTGTGAGGTGCTGGAGGAAATGTGAATGGGCATGGGTAATGGAAATGAATACAGCATGAATTTTATATTAAATTACTTTACATACACTGGGCTCCGGGGGTGGGTTCCAAAAACAACCTCTGAACATTGTATCCTTTTGGTCCACAACCAAATAAATTAAATATAAAGCTATGTCTGCAACATATTCATGACATTGGATATTTCCTTCCCATTGTGTGCAAATATTATCTTTAGACTTGCACAGATGACCCCCATCCCTGTCTTGTTTTTTTGTCAGGAATGGGCAATCTGAGAGCCAATTTCACCTTCTCACCTGCTAGGGGAGCAGCAAAATGAACTAAAGATATTAGATTTCTGTCCAACTCAAAATCTTTCAAGGCTTAGTGCGTAAAACGGCCACAATAAAGTGTCTGAAACATGAGACAATCATTTACAGTGGAAGTTAAAGAAGCTCAGCTTTAAATATAGCATGCCACCTCAAAGCGATGTATATTTTTACATGGAAACATGCATATATGGTATTTTAGAGTACCTTTAATCTGAGTCTGGGTCAGGTGGATGAGGAAAAAGAGGACAGGTACGTCCATCCTGCAGCTCCGAACTTTCTCTGCTGAAACGCCCAGATCAGTCAGATTGTTTCTCCTCCGCGTGAAAAAACCCCACACCCACAGAAAAAAAGAATCAATTATAAAGTCCAGCTCCGTCCTAAAACTATTAATTCTAATAATCTGATTCGTTTGAGTGAAGCCCTCATTTAGGACTCAGTAACTTCAGGAAATAAATTGAATCCGAGCAGAGACAAAGCAAGTCGGTGCGTAAAGACAGCGACATCCAGTCATCCGTAAAAAGCAGAGCCCACAGCAGACACGCTTCCTCTCTTCCTCCCTCAGCTGTACTCACACTCTCTCTCCCACAATGTGACACGCAGTTTGCTTCGCACCACACAAAGCACCGCGTTTGACCTCATCCTTGTTTAAAACATAGAGATCAAGCAGCGCGCCCTGCTTTAAGATGCGCCACATGACGCGCGCACCGGTTGCCAATGGCGCATCCGGTTTGATAAAGTTGGCGGCGGCCGTGGTAGATAACCCGGCTGCATTACCAAGCGCTGGTTTTATAGTTGCTGCAACATAAGCCGCACGCAGTTTGCATTTTTAGTTCTGATTTACACTAAAAGACATAACAATAACTACAACAAGCAGATCAATCTAATTGGCTGCTGATTTGTTAAACTTCACATAACAAAAATACAATGTCCACATTTTGACGCATCATAAATTTCAAGCTGTTTTATTGGGATTCTTCACCTAGTAAGGTAAAAAAAAAAATGTATACAGGGTATTTGATAAATAGTGAAATTTCCTGGAAATTAAACGTTTAGAGCAGGTTTGTATTTAGGATTTTCCCCCCCCCCCCCACAGATGCTCCTATAAAAAAAAAAAAAAAGAATTACTTACAGTACACATCAACACCAGAAACACACAGGAAGCTTGTGCTAACTTTACAGGACTTTTTACGGCTTGAGACTGGAAGCAATAGGAAATGCTTTGATATTTACACAGATACCGGTGTATTTAGATTTCACCTAATTCTACTTTTTCAGACCAGGATTTTGGGCATCTGGCAGGGACTCACCGCCTGAACTGAAGTTCTGAAAGGAGAAATGAGTCGATCACAAATGATTGTGGCTGAGTGGTAGCTCAAGGTCTGCACAGATTCTTAGCTGAGTTTTTCCCTCTGCCATGAATTGAAAACCTCTCTGCAGTATTTCCCACAGGCTCCATGGCACTGCAGCATAATGAAGAGCCCTCATCTGTTCAGAGAAAGGGATCGATTCTACTTTTGAATGATAAAAGAGCAAAACACATCTTCTTTAAAGACCAGATTAACTGTAGAAGTTAGACACTAGAAGAGTAGCTTACCAAGCAGCACACTTTGCAATGGATGATGGAGCAGGTGGAGCAGAAACAGACGGTGGATGCCAAAAAAAAAAACAATATTTGAAATAAAGTAAAATAAATGAAATGAAAGTTAAGCTCAAGTGCAGGAGCCAAGCACAGAACAGCCGCTAAGGATGTTATCAACCCAATAAATGGCTGTTATAATTCCCATAGAATGGCTTCACGTTGTGACCTCTACCATGGCTCAGTAGGTTGTCATCACCAAATGAATCCTAATCCTAAAGAAATTCCTTTTTATCTGTTTATAAATAAATTTATGTGTAATATGAAAATAACTTTAGCAGTTCTTCATCTATTGCAAAAAAAAGTTGATTGGCATGCCGCTCATATCAATTCTATTCAATTCAGCTTATTTCTATAGCGCCAATTCACAACACATGTCTTCTCAAGGCACTTTACAGTTCAGCAGATCATACAGTCAGATTGATTCAAAGTTTTCTATCTAAGGAAATCCAGTTGATTGCATCGACCCATTGACTCGAATGCAATCCCTCACACTAAGCATGCTTGTAGCGACAGTGGAGAGGCAAAACTCCCTTTTAACAGGAAGAAACCTCCAGCAGAACCAGGCTCAGTGTGGGCGGCCATCTGCTGAGACCGACTGGGGTTTAAGGAGACAGAAGCAGAGATACAAGAAGCAACTGTAATAGGCAGCCCAGGCAAGGAAACACAAAGCCAGGCAGACGAGCTCCGAGCAAGCTCCCCTGTCAGAGGATGAAGAGAGCACATCCAGCCAGTCACAGTCAGAGAAACAGGACTACACTGGAAAACAGGCCGATCTCCAACATTTTTAAACAAGGGTGTTGATGGCAGCAGTCCAGCTGATTTTTCTCTCTAGGATGGTGTCACAGCCAAACAGGAACAACGTTAGAGATTGAACTAACAGATTCTACAGAGTGGGAGAATAGAGATAGAATGTAGCAGAATAACGAAATGGGAGTCCCTAGGTCCTCCAAAAGTCTAAGCCTATAGCAGCATAACTATAGAGATAGATCAGGATAACCTAAGCCACACTAACTACAGTATAAGCTTTATCAAAAAGGAAAGTTTTAAGCCTAGTCTTAAAAGTAGACAGGTTATCTGCCTCATGGACTAAAACTGGTAGTTGGTTACACAGGAGAGGAGCCTGATAACTAAAAGATCTGCCTTTAAAAAAACTCTAGGAATCACTAGTAAACCTGCAGATTGAGAGCGAAGTGCTCTGTTAGGAACATAAGGAATGTTCATGTCTCTGATATAAGATGGAGCTTGGTCATTTAAGGCTTTATATGTGAGAAAGGAGGATTTTTAACCTATTCAGGATTTAACAGGAAGCCAATGAAGAGAGGCCAGAATAGGAGAGATATGATCTCTCCTTTTAATTTTCATCAGAACTCTGGCTGCAGCATTTTGGATCAGCTGAAGGCTTTTAACTACAGTTTGTGGAACAACCCCTCCCCCCAAAAAATCTAATATCCTTACAACTGTCAAATCCATGTGACTGAAACGTGAAATTCACTAAAAGTCAAGCTTTATAAACACAGTAAAAAAAAAAAAAAAAAAAAAAAAAAGAAGGTAGGCTGCAAATAAAATAGATAAAGTATAAAATAGGTAAATAGAAAGAAGCTGCCATTTTCAACGATAAGCTGCAATTATCAGGCATAAGAAACCTATTAGAAGGTAAAAGAGGCCATATTATGGGACTAATAACTGCTAATGATGGCCATTTAATGCTTGGTCACATACAAAACAGGTGCCCAGACAAAGGAACTCGCTGGATCAAATGCTTAAACAGAAGCTCTTCTGCAACCAAAGCTGCAAGGACTGGAATAAGAAGAAGCCGAGGCTGTCACACCTCCACATGTCACTCCTCAACCTGTCACCCGTCTTTAGGTGCGGACTCTGAGTGAAAGCACCTGTGCAGGAGCTCTGAACAAGAGAGACACAAAAACATCCCTTCAACAACACACACAAGGGCAGTGACCTGGAATATTTCAATTTAATCAAGTTTATATATATAGCGCCAATTCAGAACACATGTCATTCCAAGGCACTTTACAGAGACAATTCAATCTGATAATACAGTTAGATTGGTTTGAGGTTTTATCTAAAAAAACGTCTGATTGCATCGACAGCAAACCCTCACACCAAGCATGCGTGTAGCAACAGTGGAGAAGAAAGCTCCCTTTAAACAGGAAGAAATGTCCATCAGAACCAGACTCAGAGTGAGCTGTCATCTGCAGAGGCCGACTGAGGTTCAAGGAGGCAGAACCAGACATACAGAAAGAACTTTTAGTCTGTCTTCAAGGAGACACACTGATAGATCATTACAGAATCCAGGACATATCCAATACCAGAAGTTGCAGGAGGCACCAACAAACAGGGTGGCTGGCAACAGAAGGTTGATCAGTATTTATAGCTGGTGAGTTTTAGTACTGGTATGTAAGGCAGGGGATTTAATGAGGAGATCAAAGCACTTTGGTAATCATGGAGCATAAAAAAACAGCATTAAGACTAACTAGACAAAGAAACTCACTCAAAATATAATATCACAACATGATTAACAGAACACAGAAGGAACAACAGGGGATCTTAAAACAGAAGAATGAAATACATCTGTAAAAACAAGAGCAATCAGCTAAAAATAAAGCAAATAAAATAGCAAGCGTTGTGATAATTTTTAATAATTTTACAAAAATAATACAATTTTTTTCCCCCACAGACTGGATTGGATAAGCACCAGCACCCCTCGCGATAAGCGTGATGGAAAATGGATGGATGGAGTTTAAAGAATCTATGTTGTACAAATGTCACAATACTGTCATGAAATAGTTTAAGCTTCTTATCCACAAGCCTGATGAACACCCGGAAGGACAGGAATCAGGTGCAACCAGGTTTTCTGAATACAATGAATGTGTGCAACACAGTATCTGGTCTGTTTGGAACAGCAACGAGGGAGAAGAAAGACGAGTGTCAGTGGGGAAATCCTGGCAACTGAATGGGGATGTGTGAACAGTTCTTTCTTGTTAGAGTTTGATGGTGAGTCAATGTGGTCGTTCTGTAGCAAGTCTGTATGGGGTTCTTGACAGTTTGTTTGCCTGTTCCACCAGAAGACGGAGAATCCAGCAAGGATGAGCGGGCAGGTAGTGCCGCTGATGAATTCATGGAGGCAATTTTATGCCAGAGAAGCTGAGACCTGTCATATGATGAACCCAGTCCATGGCTTCTCTTTGAGCTGCTTAAAGAGTGAAGCAAAGAAGCTGATGAGTTGCACCTGTGGAGGGGCGGAGATTACACACCCAACCCAGCAACCAGGATGCCCTCTAATGGAGAGTCTGAAAAACTGGAAGAATCCACCCATCTTCTTCACCTTATCAATCAGGGTCACGTCATGCTGGTGCCTACCTGCAGCAGTCTATGGATGAAAGGCAAGGTACATCCTGGAGGTTGCCAGTCTGTCACAGGGCAACACAGAGACAAATACCGAATGTAGTAGAGCAAAACACACCAAAAAAGCCCAATTTCCTATAGCTTCCAAAAAGCCCTTAAATGTTTTTAGCACTTAATGGGAATTTGAACACAAAAATGGGCATGCAGGTAGCGCAGTGGTTAGTGTGCACGACCCATGTGCGGAGACCTGTGGTTCTTTGACCCATGTCTCCCCTCTGTCTCATACTCCCTTTTCCTCTCAGCCTACTGTCAAAAAAAGCAAGCGAATAATGCCGTAAAAACTCAAAAAAATAAAAAGGTATTTATCTATTTTGGTATACTTCTGCAAAAATAATTTATGAAAAAAATCCCCTGGAAGTTAAACCATGTTAGCACTGGACAAAAACTCCCAGTGATATTGTAATGAAGTTATATACAGTGTTTGGAAAGTTCTCTTTCTACGTGAACTAGTTCAAAGTTCAGTTCACACATTTTAAAATGAACTAGTTCAGTTCATAGTTCATAATTCAAAATTTTTAACTAAGTTCACAGTTCCAAAAAATGAACTAGTTCATAGTTCTTTTTTTTTCATATATTGCTCAATTACAACATAGCCTACTGTAGAACCACAGACAGCAATTTTATCAGTTGTAACACTGAAACTGTGCGTC